AGCTACTAAAAGGCAAGAGCAGCTAAGACGAAAGGGGCAACTTGGGAGTAAGGCTTGGAGGTGATTGCTCTTCCCATAAGGTATAACGGAAGTGCAAAGGTAGGAAAACCTTTGCAGGAAGCAACGTCATTCACTCTGATCGGTTTGGACTCTGAAAGCTCCATGGTGAATTTGTTCTCTGTTTGGTTTTGGAAAGACTAATTTGGGACTTTAGTCGTTGGCAGAACTTTGGCAAACATCCCTGAGACTAATTATAACCCGTTAAGACTCATTCCGGGCTGTGAATGACGATAATTCACAGCCGTTGAACTAAAATAAAAGTGTCTTGGATTTTATGTGTGTTTGTTGGTGTCTCAGGAAGCCTTGGTCAGAACAGATGTTGTTAGTAACCTGGTTGTTAACTGAATCTGGCTTCCCCATTGACTTTGCTCGTCAGGGGATCGCATGGCCACGGGAAACAGCAACCGTCATAAATACGTCCCAATTGCCAAGCATCTGAATTTTGATCGCGGTGACCATAGGGATGCTGCAAAGGTTGTAAATGTGATCATACGTCACTTTATTCAGCTCCACTGTAACTTTGAACCGCCACTAAATGAACTGTTCTTAAGGGGAGGACTACCTGTATAGGGGAGGGGTGGGAGAAATTGCAAGGGGGGAAGATGTCTATCCAATACATGACATGTCTTTTAGAAGAGATTAGCTCGATACCCGTGCTTCACTAAGAAACTATGTGGTCGGGCTTAGTTTTTGGGGAGCAAATTAAAGGAGGGGGAATTCTGCCTCTGCCTACCAGCATCCATCGGTATTCATCTGGCTAGTGTCCTGTCAGTGTGTGTGAGAGTTGAGGGTAGTTTGGAAACTGAAACAGTATTTGCTGTGTGAGCAAGGAGACAGCAAGGAATCTGGGCGTGGCTTAACTCAACTGTTCTGTATTAAAGCTGGTTGCTGCTGTGAAACTAAAACTGAAACTGAAACTCCTCTCCTCTGCTTGTGTTTTGCATTTGGAACAGATTTCTTTTCAGGTGGGGAGAGGGAGTAGAATTCCTTAGCATCAGAGCGTGTTAATAATAACATACGAAATACTATCCTTTCTTAGTGAGCACCTATAAGCCAAGAGGAACATACCTGCCAAATTTCAAGTTTGTAGGCTTTACGGTTCTGGAGGTTTTGTGATGATGAGTGAGTGGTATTTCGCTTTTATATATAGATTCCAAATTATTCTCCTTCTGTCTAATAAAAGGGAATGCCTGCTTTGAGCCCACAACTGCTGCAACCCCACATTGTAAAGCAAAGAAATAATGACTTTGCTCTCTGCAGACCCAACAAAACACCGGATTTATTCACCCACGGAGCTGCACCTTTTTAAAGTCGGCTATCGGATGAATTCATGCTCATGCGGTTAATCAGCCACGACCTGTTTGAACCATGGAAAGAGCAGAACTTAAATTGCATTGGTAACATAGAAGAAGATGGTAAGGTTTTAGTTTTTGAATGAATGCTGATCTATCTCCCCCCCCCCTCCAGCCTGCACAGCCCCTCCTACCCAAAACACAGATTCACAGTTGCAAGGACAACAGTAGCATCTGCGTCATCAAGATCAGAGCCACTGATGGGTGGGAGATAATGAAAGAAGATAGAGAAATTGAGTATTACGATAAAGCCCATATATTGCTCATCACTGTCCTTTTCCAGAAAAAGGCTTTAGCATCTTTTCTTAAAAGATGCATTCAAGGGACATTCTGTTCTGCTCTTTGCAATCCTTTCCCCCACACCCCTCCTGACACTGCCCAAGCCTTATATGATCACATTTCTGCCAGCTAAAGATAACATCTTCAAATGCATCCAGCGAAATGTTGAGAAAGTAATGCACCGGTGGGCAATTCAGCTATACAAGATGCCATTGGATTTGGACTGGAAATTCCCAAATTCCACCAACCGGTCCGGATGCAAGAAAGATACACTTTTTAAAAAAAAAAAAAAAATCTGAGCGGAAGAATTTATTCAGAGTAGCAGATTACCCCAGGCATCTTCCTTGTCAAGAACAGGGACATAAATTATTTTGCTGTTGCAGATCTGGAGCAATAAGGCAAACGAAATCTTTGTCAATTTCCTGCAGAGATTGATCGTTAAATTGCAATCTTCCTTGTATAAAGGCTTCTGCAGCAACATACCTCTCAGCTTCTGAAGAGCCATAAAGCTCTCTGCCCTCTTAACTGCACCCTGGCACAGGAGCCAAGCAGGCAGACCACCTGGCAGTTTGATTCTCTAGGTAAAAAAAAAAAAAAGATTCCTTTCCAAGTGAAAGCCACTGTTGGCCATAAGCATGCAATGAAGACTATTAAATATATTAAGCCAGTGTTTCTCAACCTTGACAACTATAAGACGTGTGGACTTCAACTCCCAGATTTCCCAGCTGGCTGGGGAATTCTGGGAGTTGAAGTCCACGCATCTTCAAAGTTGCCAAAGTTGAGCAGCACAGTACTAAGCCATACCAAGCCTTCCCCAAACTGATGTTTTCCAAATGTACATGCTTACGGTCAGCCAGTGGCCTTTACCTTCACCTGAGAATATAATCTCCAAAATTCCATGGCTGAAAATGTTGGGCTTTGTAGTCCTGACGCACCTTGGAGGGCCCCAACTGCATAATGGAGTTCCAGCCCAATTAGGTGATACCCCTAATGGACTGTGACAGATCTTAGAAAAAGCAAGTTTGTGCTTGGATGGTGCTTGGATGGGATACCACCAGGAAATTTCAGCGCTGAGAAGTCCTAAAAATAACTTGAAAGGAAGCTGTAATAAATCAAATCGTTTCATGCCAAGGAAACTGCATAGATGGATCTATGAAATCTCTAGGAATTGGGTTCAATGCTGAATCGTGATTTTAGATGATTTTTTTAAATACATAAATAAAACAGGCCAAGATTTACAGTGATTGGAGCATTTCTCCATCACTGTCTTTAAGATTTGATATGTATGATTCAGAGGATGTAGGCAGCTTTCTAACTTTGCTCCTTTGACCCCACAACCATCACACCAGTCCTAGGAAAATATCTGTCAGCAACAGGTCCTTTGTGAGACAATAATATTCTGCATGCCCTCAGAGGCACTCTTGTTTGTTTATCAGCAGAGACAAAGTTGACTGGCCCTGATCAGCCCCAGTAGACTAAACATTTTGCCTAATACAAATAGTCCTCAACTTACAACCACAATCGAGCCCAACATTTCCCTTGTTAAATGAGACATTTGTCAAATGAGTTTTGGTCCATTTTACAACTTTTCTTGCCACAGTTGTTAAGTGAACCACTGCAGTTGATAAGTTAGTGACCCCGTTGTTAAGTGAATCTGGCTTCCCCTTTGACTTTGCTGGTCAGAAGTTCGCAAAAGGAGAATCACACTGCAACGGTCATAAATATGAACCAGTTGCCAAGCATCTGAATTTTGATCACCTATTCATGAGGATACTGAACGGGTCGTCACTGAAAAACGTTCATAAAAGTCACTTTTTTCAGTGCCATAGTAGTTTTGAATGGTCACTAACTGAACCGTTGTAAGTCAAGGACTACCTGTATTACATTCGTTTCCCTTTCCAAGATCCTATTCATAAACAGGTCCTTTGCATCAACTGATCCCTTTTGAACTAGACATGTCAAGGATTAAACCAGAAGCCTTTCGATGGGAAAAAAAAAAAGAGAGAAAGAGAGAGAGAGAGAAACAGCCTTTAAGGACAATATTCTGTTTTTGAGTTGCATGATTCCAGAAATTCTACTACCACCTGCATACACCCCACAAAGGCAACCTGAAAGCTGACTGGTTGCCAAGCTGAAGATGGATAAAAATGAACTTGACTAAGTTGCATCATAATCAAACACAGCTTGTGCCAAAGTAAATATGATTAGGAAAAGGGTAAAAGGCTCCTGTGTTTGTCCTCCCTCATCTCACCTGGTTAGACAAGGGAGAGACAAAGGAGTCTCTGAGCTTGTAAAGGGTGCATATTTGATCAAAATCAGGCAGACTTGCTCGATTCAGGAACGAGAAATTCTCCATTTCTCTCTCAAAGATTTTGAAACCATCCACCAGCTGCAGTTTCACTCCAAAAGAGATGCTCTATAAATGCCCTTTGCAAATTTTAATCCTCACCCCGTTTTTGGTGTGTCTGTGCATTCAGCTCTATTCCCTCAATAGGGTGTTAATAATTGGTTTCACACAACATACTGGTTCTCTTCAGACACCTCTCAGGATTTCCCTACTGAATTAACTCACTCTTTGGATTCACACAGCCAGGTCCATAACCAGACACTACGCCGGAAGAAAGAAAGAAAAATCAAGGTCTAAACCAGCTTCGTCAAACGTTTTCTGCTCGAACGTACTACAGGTTGTGCGAAAGCAGCCACGGAGCCACTATGCAAGCCAACTTCATTTCAACTTAGCGTTTTGAATGAACCCAAACCCGAGTGGCTCGCTGGCGGATTAAGGTCGGTTGCGCTAGCGGAAAACAGATCCGTGCTGGGAAGCAGGCAAGAGAGTCGTGCGAACACGGCCGCGAATGACTCGCCTTCCTTGTTATTTCTTTTTAAGACCGGAGCAGCGTCCAACTCGTAGTTAGGAGCCGTAAGGCGAGGACTTTCCCACTTAGTGACTTATCTGGTAGCCACCCCAGAGTCACCGTAGGATGCCAACCACAGCAAACCCCAAAATGCAAACCAACCTCGGCAAGAGAAAGAGAGGGATGGTCCGGTTCTCTCCTACTCTCCCTTCCCAAAATCGGTCAAAGTAAGGTAAAGAAGCTAACAACAGATTTATAGAGTTGGAAGGGACCCTTGGAGGTCTTCTAGCCCAACTCCCTATACTACTTCAGACAAACGGTTGACTATCGACTATTTAGGCTGTATGTTGAGTGAAGAATCCTTGCAGCTCCAGTGGATCTCTTACTAATCAGCATCACGACCACTAACATACACACACACACACAAATAAAATCTACCCCACGCCTTCCTTACCTCCTTTTTCACATTCCAAAGCAATTTTTCCTTCGCGGCATCACCCGAGCAACTCATGGTGCCGCGGGGGGACGAAGGGTCCGGAGCGATCGGAAGGGGAGAAAGGGCCAACTAAGCCGGGGGCGAGGGCAGGGCGGGGGTCTCCCACTCGCGCTGCGCTCTGCAGAGCTGGGACCGACCGGCCCCGGAGAGGCGAGCCAGCCAGGCGCCTTCTTCTTCCTCCTCCTCCTCCTCGTCCTCCTGCTGCTTCGCCGCCGCCGCAGCCCTGCGCTCGCTCTTGCAGCGGGCAACCCCTTCAGCCGCCGCCGCCGCCGCTGCAGCCATCTTCCGCGGCCTCCCCCACATTGACGTCACTCCCGCTGGCCCAACCTGGTTTTCCCCGGGGGGGGGCAAGAGCAGGAAGGAGGGAAGCGGCGGCGGCGGGGGGGGGAATTATCGAGTAACAATACACTTGTGTGATGGGGGAGGGGCGCGCAGGCGGCGGGTGGGGGGTTGTCCCTTGCCTGGGCAAGGCAAGGGGTGGGTGGATATCTCCAAACCCTGGAGAAAAATGGAGGGCTCCAGAGCATGGACAGAACGCCGGGGTGGGGTGGGGTGGAAGGTGTCTCTTAACCCTGCAATCCTGGTTGCAAAGCTCGTTCTGTCCTCCCCCCCACCTCCCGTCCTGCTTGAATTAGAAAATAGCCCTGCGAGGTAGACTACAGGGGGCGGGAGCTGTGTTGTTCCAGGTTATAGGCTCCTCGCTTGAAGGGCCCCTGTTCGTCCTATCCGTGTTCTGGGTTCAGACGGGATCAAAGTGTGTTGGGCAAACTCGTGGGATTAGTTGGTGGTTCACAAGAGTTCTGGCCACTCAGAAAACGGCGTTGGGTAAACCCTGATGTATAGATTCTGCCGCTCAACTTCTCTAACTCCCATGTATAGAAAGGGTAGGAAACGTTGGTTTGAATCTGCAGGTGCCCGCAGTAAATCATGAGGTAATCGGGGCTTATGGGTGTAAAAACATGTGCAGTTAGTTGATTTGCAAAGGCAAACTTAGGGAGAGAGAGAGAGAGAAAAGCACTCCCGTGTCAGTTGCAGTCTAATTGATTGGATTGATAATCCTAGCTTTTCATTTAGGAGCTAAGGCAGTTTGTCAAGTGTCTATCTAGATTCTCAGCCATCCAGGTCATGGTTGTCGCAAAGGTGCTTTTTCCGAGGCAACTGGACTTTCTGGAGTTTTTTTTAAGGATGTTTCGCTTCTCATCCAAGAAGCTTCTTCAGCTCTGACTGGATAGTGGAGCCTTCCATTTCCCACCATCCAGTCAGAGCTGAAGAAGCTTCTTGGATGAAAAGCAAAACATCTTCAAGAAAAACTAGAAAGTCCAGTTGCCTCTAGAAAAAGCACCTTTTGGAAGTATGTCAAGTGCTCCCCTCTCCTCCATACAACAACCCTGCAGAGATAGGTTGCAGTGAGACGATAGGACTGGCCCTTGAGGTCTCTTCCATGGCTGAGACTGGATGTATCTCTGAATATATGATTTAATAACTTAAGGAGTTGATGCAGCAAAGAAAATTTGTTTTTAGAATCTGTGTTAGAGCTGGCTCCCGCCTGCAAGATAATGAACAGTTGTCATCATTTTTGAACACACATCATACCTGTACCTGTCACTCACCTGCTGTTGGGTTATTAAAGCTGTAAAGTTCTCACATTCAATCTCCAAAAAGTGTTTGATAGGTACAGTAAGAGTAATGTTTAGCCTTCTGTGCACTTTGGGGCCATTAATCCAAAATACCAATCTGTTCTAATGGGTTGTTTTTGTTTTCTTTTAAAGAGGTTTAGAGTATTCGAAAACAGGAATGTTTTATTTCCCTTGGTTGAAGGTTGGCCAGCAGATGATAAATTAGAAATATTAGATTTCAGTTATCATGTAGCTCTCAGATCTAACAGAGCACAATTGTATGCAAACATACTCGGCATAGTGGGAGCAAATTTTTAGGGAATAGAAAACGGGTGTGGAATTTGGAGATTCTCTCGTGAGAGCTGCCACAAAATGGTTGCTATGGGAAGGGAAGGGAGAAAATATTTGCCACAGTGTAGGTAACTCATTATTCAACATTCATTTAGCAAAAGCTAGGGATTTTCTTTATCCATTCATTCATTTTTATATTGTGGAAAGTCCCCCGTCCCAGAAGAATGAAATATTTTGGGAAATATTAAAAATGCAGAATATTGTATTTCCCTAAATGAGAAATGGAGAAAAAAAATAGAGGCAGAAAACACCCCCCCCCCCCTTTTCTTAATAGCCTACAGCAGATGTCAACACTTAAGAGATAAAGAGCTTATTGAAAAAAGACAAGTATAGCTCCATTCATAAGCAAATACCCTCACCCAAGAGCCAAAACAGGACAAAAGCCATTAAGTCACAATAGGAATTGCATCACCCCCAGAGCAGTGCAAACTTTAACCAAACCTGGGAGCTCAGACAAACACCTAGGAATTTGTGTTTCCTCTTTTGCCTATAGAGCCAGCTACATGACCCCTACATGACCCCAAAGGAATCTGGCAACAGCCAATAGAATACATGTTCTTGCACAGGAACAGGAAGCTCAAATACAAAGCCCAAAGAAGGTATAACCCCACCTTCAACTCCATTTTGCCAGCTACCCAGAACCACTAACCCATGTGGTTCTGCTTTATCATTAAACCATCATTCCAATCAGCCTCCATGTTTCCAGTGTCTTTCTCCCAGCTTGGAACTGAACTAGACGGATATTTCTTCCCACAGAACATGGTTCTTACTGGTTTAGGTCATGAAAGCCCAACAAGGTAAAAATAGTATATTAATGTAAAAGAATCAAGAAGAATATGGTGATGCAATTACTACAAAGCTACTAAAATCACCATTCATTGCCCAAAGCAGCTCATTTTCTGAAGCAATAGAAAAAGCTAACTTCAAAGAGCAACAGGATCCCTTAAATATGGGAGCATCACTGAAAAACACTTTGAAAACTGAAAAACAACTAATATTTTGGGCAGGATGCAAATAGAGAAATACCCTTTGAATTGCACTTAGAAAACTGTTTATAGTGAACATTCAGACAGTAGAGCAAGTATGAAATGGCTATGGTCACTTTGATTCGCAAATATACTGCATTTTGAATCAATTGTAGTTTTTGATTAGTCTTCAAAGGCAACCTAAGGTAGACTACCCAGCAGAAATCTAGGGTTTTTTTATGCTGCTTGTTTCATTCTTATATTTTGTCATGGTGATTTAAGGCCTTTGTTGTTTGCCACACAGAGTTCATCAGGACTAGAGCAGGCTATAAACATTGCAAAATCAACAAAATAAATTGTGGACTGAAAATACTTGTTAGGAATAACATAGGTTACCTAACGTAGTTTGGGTAAAATAATATATATAGACTATAATAGTGAGTTTAAGTGTGTGTCACTTTAAATGCAAAGTTTGTAATTTTGGGTGCGGCTGTAAATCGCCATAAGAGGGAGCAAGAGAACTGGATTGATTGCTGGCTTACTGGATTGCTTGCAGACTATGATGGATTGATGGTTCGTTAACTGCGTGTTCTTTGCTGTTGCTGAAGGAAGAAAGGAGGTTTGACTTCTTCATATCTCTACTGCGAAGAGATATATTACTGGACTGATATTTGTAAGTTTACTGACCTCTTTTTCGACTCTGGACTTTGCAACTGAATAATCCCCGGACGGACTGAACTAGTGTATGATATATGGACTGTTTTGACTATGCTAAAACTATTACTGGAATAAACTATTTAACTAGCACATTGTATCTGTTTTACTGAGTGTAAGCTACAAAAACGTTTGTCTCACATATTTGCCTGCCTGCCTGACTGCCATGCAGGTTCTGCTAGGGTGTATATCCCTAACAATACTACTCCTTTGAAAGTCGCCATTGGAGGCATAAATATTGCTGACTGGGGAATTCTGGGAATTGAAATCTACACATTAAAGTTGTCAGAGCTGAGAAACACTGATTTAGAGCCTAATTAGCTATAGATTAATACTTTTCAGTTCAGACACTATGCTAGATGGTGGTTAACTATATAAGCATTCTGCTGAAGTGGGAAAGATGTTTGAAGTACCATTTGACCAAATATCTAGGTATGACTATATTATATACATGTAGAAAGTTTAGTACCTACCCCTCCTAGAAGAATGAAATATTTTAGAAAATATTAAAAAGGAAGAATATTATATTTCCTTAAAGGAGAAAAATGCTCTTGGAAAGCAGCCCCCACCTTTCTCAATAGCTCTAGCAGGATTGGGCCAGCCAACCTACAAGGCAATTAGACTTTCAACTCCAGGGTGATGGGATTAAGACATGACTGTCCAGGACATAATAGGATTACCTCTCAGCAGAGCTCATCAATGGCATCATCCAGCAAGGTTCAACCAAACTTATCTCAGACTACCTCAGCTATAACCCCTGCATAGCCCCCTGGGAGTCTGACAACCAATAGAATACATAAGATATGAAACCAATAGAATACATAAGATATGCACAGGAACAGGAAGCTCAAGAGCAATGCCCAAGAGAGAGTATAAATACCTTCTCTCTCTCTCTCTCTCTCCTCCATGTGTTCAGCTGCCCAGGACCTAAAACCCATGTGGTCCTGTCCATCAGTAAACCATCTTTCCAATCAGCCTCCATGTTTCCAGTGTCTTTCTTCCCACTTGGAACTGAACCCAGATGGATATTTCTTCCAACACACCAGAGGTGGTATTCAGCAGGTTCTGACCAGTTCTGGAGAACCGGTAGCGGAAATTTTGAGTAGTTCAGAGAACGAACAAATATCACCTCTGACTGGAGATTTTACAGTATCCTTCCCCTGCCACGCCCACCAAGCCCTGCCCACAGAACCGGTAGTAAAAAAAATTTGAATCCCACCACTGCAATACACACACACACACACACACACACACACAAAGACAGAGACAGAGTCAGACCCCACTATCTTATTGCCACAAAGAAAAAAAAAACCCATGAAGATGCATGAAGCTACCCGACATTGAAGAAGATTTTTATTTAATCAAAATTATGTCTTAGTGTTAGGGGACACAGCTAACAGAGTATATTTTTTAAATCCAGTTTTTCATTAATTTGATCTTGCCTTGCACAGCAGTTCTAGGATGGCACTCACTCCATCACCTAATATCAAGTAAGCAAATAGCAAAAAAGCAACAGTCTGGTGTAATGGTTAAGGTGCTGACCTAGAAAGCAGACTGTGTGTTCTAGTTCTGCCTTAGGCATGAAAACCGGCTGGGTGATTTTGGACCAATCACCAGGAGACTGAGCTCATAC